AGAAAGCCTCATCTTTCTCCCGCGGAACAGCTGGTAGTTTCGAACTGCTGACCTTGCAGTTTGCAGCCCAATTCGTAACCACTACGCTACCAGAGCTCCTTAGTAGTAGGCATAACCATTTCTATGGCTTACCAGAGACACCTCCAGTCACATAAATGGCCATTACAACAGCCATTGCAAATCCAACATTGACAGTGACAATTCCTCCAAAATGCCCTCTACTGAGGATGGCTTGGGCAACAGAGCCACATCCAAGGACCTGGAATGAGAGGAAGACTCAATAAGTGGGCAGGTCAGAGTCAAAGGTAAAAAAAATTACAGCAACAAGAAGATTTTTTTAAAGTCAACTTGTGAGTGTGGGTGGTATTGGACTTCAAACACATCAAATTATAATGACCCAGCTATGCAGATACAAAATGGTGGTCCTGAGACTTAATCAGACTTACAGATATGTATGTTGGGCCTGCAAAATGTCAAATATTATCTATATCTATACATCCATTAATCAGTTCATTTTACACAAAGATGTGGGTATCTGGATTTTTTTTTAAATGAAGCTTTAGTTTTGTGGGGGGTTTTTCAAGATTATTAATGATTCACATGCAGTTGTAAAAATATTACACAGACATCCATAAGGTTTTTCAAATTGGCATTGAGAAGACCTGCCAATTCTAGAAACAATTACCCAGAGTAAAGTCACTGGTGGCTGCTCCCTTTATTTTAAGTTTATGCTCTTTCACTTTAAATACTTCAGTCACTGGTCCCTGTGGGCATTTGAGTTTGCTATCCCTGCTGTAGAGGCTTCCAGTGTAAGCCAGATCAGGCACACAGATTGTCACACACTCAACTAATAGAAAATCATCTCTACGATGCATTAAGAAAGAATGTCTGTTACAAAAGAAACAAAAAATTGGGGGGTATAGAACTGGACATCAGGTCCCCCTTATCCATATTTCTTTTCTCCCTGATGAGACTGTAGCTTCCTAGAGAGCTGAGGCTGCCAAACTCTCTCCACTTCTTGTGTTCCCTTTTGGCACCAAACAGTGTTTTGAACACAGAAAGCACTCTGCAGGCAGTTGTACAACAAAGAAAAAGCATAACCGTGAGTCTTTGACGATCTTTAGTTGCTAGAGGATATTTTGAAATGATTTGGAATAAATGTAAATAAAAATAATATGGTATATCAATGCACTACTATGCAGCCATAAAAGAAGATGAGGAAGACCTATGTACACCCAAATGGAATGACCCTAAAGTGTATTGCTAAGTTCTAAAAAATGAAGAAAAAGAAGATGTAGAACACAATCAAGGGTTGACTTGTGCCATCTAAAAAAATGTGTTTAAATTCGAATCCCTTTACTTGTAAATATGGGCCTGTTTGGAAGGAAGGGTTCTATTTGGTTATGTTAATGTGGTCGTACTTTAGGGTGGGTGGGTCCTAAAGCTAATCACTTCTGAGTTATAAAAAGAGAAGAAGAGCCTCAGAGATATATGCATGGCTTGGGGGTGAGAAACAGATACCAAAGAATGCTAAAGAATGTCTGGGACCACTGACAAGGACAAACCCTCCCTTAAAGCCGATGCCCCAATTTGGACTTCCAGCCTCCCAGACTTTGAAATAGCAAACTTGTGTTCTTTAAAACCTTCTGCTTGTCATGCATTTTGTCGCAGCAACACTAAGTAATTAAGATAAACAACATGTAAAGCATACTGCTGATTATGATAAAAATAAATTCTATCTCTTTATATGCATGGGCACTCTCTATGAATATACAAACAACAGAAAACCTAGGTGAGTAAGCCCTGTGGAGGGTCATTGAATGGTCAGATTAGACATTGGAAAAAAGCTTTATTTTCCCCCTGGTATTTTCCATAGCTTCATATGCATGTGAAAGTTGTACAACGAATAAGAAAGAACAGAGAAGAATGGATGCATCTGAGTTGTGGTGTTGAAGAAGAATATGTAAGGTACCATTCATCTGTCAGTTTGTTGTACTGTGATGGTTTTCATGTTACTGTGATGCTGGAAACGATGCCACCAGTATTTTAAATACCAACAGGATACACCCATGGTAGACAGGTTTCAGCTGAGATTCCAGACTAAGACAGACTAGATAGAAGGGGAGGACTACTTCTGAATATTTAGAAACTGAAAACCTTATGAATATCAATGGCGCACCATCAGCACCAGAATATTGAATATTGAAACATGATGCATAGCACCAGAACATTGTCAGATATAGTACCGGAAGATAAGTCCTTCAGTTTGGAAGACACTAAAAATGTGACTGGGGAAGAGCTGCCTCCTCAAAGTAGAGTAGATCATGATGATTTGAAAGCTTTTGGTACCTCCATTTGCTGATGGGGCACAACTCAAAATGGGGGAGAAGTAGCTGTTGTTGTTGTTGTTAGGTGCCATCGAGTTGATACCAACCCATAGCAACCCTATGCACAACAGAACGAATAGCTGTAAACATATATTAATAATCAGAACATGAAATATACAAAGTCTGAATGTAGGAAAATTGAAAGTTGTCAAAAATGAAATGGAATGTATAAAGATCAATATCCTAGGCATTAGTGAGTTGAAATGGACTGGTATTGGCCATTTAGAATATGAAAATCATATGGTTTCATATGCCCGGAATGACATATTGAAGAGGAATGTCACATTCAACATTAAAAACGATATTTCGAGATCTTGAAGTATAATGCTGTCTATGATAGGATAATATCAAAATGCCTACTAGGAAGACTAGTTAATAGCACTATTATTCAAATTTACCCACCAACCACTAAAGCCAGCAATGGTGAAACTGAAGAATCTACTGATTCCTTCAGTCTGAAATTGATCAAACATGTAACCAAGATATATTGACAATTACTGGTGATTGGAATGCAAAGATTGGAAACAAAGACAGATCAGTAGTTGGAAAATATAGCCTTGGTTATAGAAATGTTGCTAGAGATTACATGATAGAATTTTGGAAGACCAAAGATTTCATCATTGCAAATCCATTCTTAAACAACACAAAAGACGACTATACACATAGAGCTCACCAGATGGCATATGCAGAAGTCAAATTGACTACATTTGTGGTGAGAAACTGTGGGAAAGTTCCATATTCAAAACAAGGCCAGGGCAGACTGTGGAACAGACCATCAACTGCTCATATGCAAACCCAGACTGAAACTGAAGAAAATTAAAACCAATCCATAAGAGCCTAAATTTGACCTTGAACATATCCCATCTGAATTTAGAAATAGTCTCAAGAACAGATTGATGAATTAGACAGTAATGACCAAAGATCAGAAGAGTTGTGAGATGACATCGCGAACATCATATAGGAAGAAAACAAAAAGTCAGTAAAAAGACAAGAAAGAAGGAAAAGATCAAAATAGATGTCAAAAGAGACTCTGAAACTTGGTCTTCAGCACAGAGATGCTAAAGAAAATGGAAGAAACAAGGAAGTAAAAAAGGTGAACAGAAAAATTCAAAGGGCAGCTAGAGAACACACAGTCAAGTATTATAATGAAATACGTAAAAACCGAGTCCTAGTGTGGCACTGTGGATTAATGCGCTAGGTAGCAACGTTGATTTGAACTGTAAGGTCAGTGGTTCAAACTTACCAGTTGCTCCTTGGAAACCCTATACAGGGTCGCTATGAGTTGGAACCAACTTAACAACACTTAACAACAGCAACAACAATGCTAAGACCTGGAGTTAGAAAACCAAAAGGGAAGAACACACAGCATTTCTCAAGCTGAAAAACTGAAGAAAAAAATCAAGTTTCAACTTGAAATGTTGAAAGGTTCTATGGGCAAAATACTGAAAGATACAGAAAGCATCAAAAGAAGATAGAAGACATACACAGAGTCACAGTCACTGTACCAAAAGAAATAGATGATATTCAACCATTTCAAGAGATAGCATATGATCAAGAGCCAATGGTACTGAAGGAAGAAGGCCAAGGTTCATTGAAGGCATTGGCAAAGAACAAGCCTCCAGGAATTGACAGAATATAAATTTAAATCTTTCAACAAACTGACAAAACACTGGAGGCACTCACTCATCTATGCCAAGAAATTTGGAGGACAGCTACCTGGCCAACTGATTGTAAGAGATCCATATTTGTGCCCATTCTAAAGAGAGGTGAAATGAATGTAGAAATCATTAGATTTCCAATTCCAAATTGCAAAAATTACTAATATCACATACAAGTAAAATTTTGCTAAAGATAATTCAAAAACAACTTCAACAGAACATTGATAGGAAACTGCCAGAGGTTCAAGGCAGATTCAGACGAGGATGTGCAATGAGGGATATCTTTGTTGGCATCAGATGGATCTTGGCTGAAAGCAGAGAATACCAGAAGGATGTTTACCTGTGATTGATTGATTATGCAAAGGTTTCAACTGTGTGGATTGTGACAAGCTATGGACAACGTTGTATAGAATGAGTATTCCAGAACATTTCATTGTACTCATGAGGAACTTGTACATAAACCAAGAGGCAGTCATTCCAACAGAGCAAGGGACCGCTGAATGGTTTAAAATCAGGAAAGGTGTGTGCCAGAATTGTATGTTTTCACCCTACATATTCAATTTGTATGTGCTGAGCAAATAATTCAAGACACTGGATTACATGAAGAAGAAAGTGGCATCAGGATTGGAGGAAGACTCTTTAACAATCTTTGATATGCAGATGATACAATCTTGCTTGCTGAAAATGAAGAGGACTTTAAATACTTACTGATGAAGCTCATAGACCACAGCCTTCAGTATGGGTCTAAAGCCTTTACATTGCACCTCATTGTAAAGAAAACAATAATCCTCACCACTGGACCAATAAATAACATCACAATAAATGGAGTAAAGATTGAAATTGTCAAAGACTTCATTTTGCTTGGATCAACACTCATGGAAGCAGCAGTCAAGAAATCAAACAACATATTGCATTAGGCAAATCTGCTGCACAAGAACTCTTTTAAAGTGTTGAAGACCAGAGAAGTAAGTTTGAGAACTACGGTGAACCTGATCCAAGCCATGGTATTTTCAATAGCTTCATATGCATGTGAAAGTTGAAGAGTGAATAAGGAAGACCATGGAAGAATTAATGCATTTGAGTTATGGTGTTGGAGAATATTAAAAGTAATGTGGGTTGCTAGAAGAACATACAAATCTGTGTTGGAAGATGTGCCACCAGAATGTTCCTGATATATTATCAGGAGGTACCAGTCCCTCGAGAAGGAAATCACA